ATATGTGATAAAATTTGGTAAAATTAAATAATTTTCTGAGGATACCTTAGAGCACGGTATAAAAGCCATTTATTTGGTTGAATTTACTTTTTAGCTCTAATTTTCTTACTAAATGTGTGGTAGTAAGAACAATAATTTGGAAACTATTATTTAGAAAACCGTTACCATATGAACAGAAAAATTACCTTAAGAAATGTTTAAATACCGTATATTTTGGTTTTATTAGCCAGAATAGTTCTTATTTCCAGAAATGTCATTACCATGATGTACGGAAATTTTATCAGAATTTTTTTCGCCGTGTATGCAGCTGTCAGTCCTTGTCGTGTCCTCCACGTCGTCTCTGAATTCAAAATTACTGTACAAACTATATCTGTACTTGGAGAGTTTTCTTACAATTTTTGTTGCTTTTCAAATAGTAATTTTTCTTAAGATATATTTTAATTAAAGTATTTGTGCGTTTTATTTACACACATATATTTATCCCAATTTCATATTTTTTGCAAAATCTTCAAAGCATTTCTTTTATTAAAATAAATGCTTATATTTAATGAAAAAACAACTCATATTTTTTTGACTAAGTATAAAATTTATATTTAATTTTAAAAAATGATTGTCATGAATGTGAGGTTTTTGATGAATTGCATTAACATTGCTTTATTTCATTTCTCCCCTCAAAGTGAAAGTTGAAGAAAAAAAATATTTATTCGTACCAGAATTATGGTTTTTTTATTTACCAGAAATATCATCAACCTACAGTGCAGTAATTTTACCAGAATTGTTATCTCCGTATATTTGGCTAAAATATGTGAAATATAAAATCTATCCAATTCTAGTTATGTTTATCCTAAATAATTCAATTTCATTTGCTATGCTGTTCTTCATTATAAAATAAACCACTTATTTTTAAAGTTAATTACTTTTCCCAACAAGTTTCGCAAGATTTTCAAATTATTTTCCAGTATCATAGATTGAATATTAATAAAAGAGAAAATGTATCGTACAAATTTGTTTCTAAACTAAACCATTGTTTACTTTAAATTAATTGTAAAACTATTTTTATACGTTGCTAGACGTTTTGTTTTTCTAATAAACGAAGAACGTAGAAAGTTGTTTCAACTAATTAGTTTCAATGTCTTTGATTCTGCTATTGTTTGTTCAACCTGGATGCAAAAATAAGCCTTTTGTTGACCATATTGTAGAAATTCATTCCATCTGTGAAAAAAACTATTCGTGTTTAAAAATAATTTCGTTTGTATTCTTTTGTGTAAAAGAATGAGTAATTCAAATAAATATCTATATGAATTATACGTGGATAAAAACTGATATCACAATTTTGCATTTAATCCATTATTAATCATTCAAACGCGATGGACTAAGAAACTTTATTTGTAGTAAACAAAATGAATTATTTTGCGTTGACTTCATATTATTCAGGTGCTGAGTTGACATAACTAAATTGGTAATTTTAATTTAAATTTTAAATGCTGCTTTCAAATGCTAAGACTCTGTAGCCTTTCAATTAAAGTTGCTAAAGAATTCTAGCATTCCTATACAAATCTACTTTATTCTGTTTTAATTTTAACTGCATCATTTTCTTTTCTTTTTGGTTTTAATTTTGCATTGCAATTTCCGAAAAACCTCGCTTTTATTTTACTATACGGTCATCATTTATAAATATTCAAATTTGCACATCCATCAATATATTACCTATTATTTTATACGAAAGAGTATTGTATTTTCCAGAATTTAAGGATATAAAACACCAATTTTACTACTTGCACGCATGTTGAAACAAAAACAATAATGTCTCAATGTAAATTCATACCAGTTTTTCACCAACAAAGCAAGTGAAATGAGATTATAAAATCACACATATAAACATTTATCTGCTTTTTTTTTCATTTATTATGATACTCTACAATTGCTCACTGCGGTTTTAAAATAATATCTCACTTTTCATTCAAATTGTAAAAACATTAAAAAAGAAGTCAATCTGAAAACAAGTTTTTTGACTACATATCTGCATTACTCCTTTATACTTTTCTTTGCAGCTTACTATTGAAATCAATATTTAGAGTTTTCAATGCTGCCGTAAGCTATTGCAGATCATTTCAATTTCTTTCTTGCATCTTGTAGAAACTCTCAGTTCCATCTACAATCTGTAGACAGAAGAAGTCTTATCCGTGATTGCATTTCAAGTCAAAATATTTGGTTAAAGTAAATGGAAAGGATGCGTGTCTAATTTATCTTTAATTTACTTTGTAACATTATGTGTATTTGCTTATAAAAACAAGATCATTGTAACAACAATTTCGTACGCCATTGCAAAAAATAATCGTTAAAATTATTGAAATTTATTGATCGTTAAAATAGATTTTTTATTTATCCAAAAAATAGTTTTTCCGTCTGACTAAAATAATCCCCTAAATTCCTTGAATTTATGTTTAGCGATTTCGCCTTTGTAATTTATTGACTGTACTAATTATTACTAAATAACCTTAATGCATTTTTGCTATGAATAAACATGCTTATAGATAATCAAATCAATCACGTAAATAAAAATTACCGTATTATTTGGGAATGACACTTCTGGTAAAAAAAATCACATAATTGTAGTATTAAAAACCAAAAGATACGATATTTTAAGCCATTCAATTGGTACTTTCAGCAGTTCATATGTTAACGGTTTACCGGAAATTCTGGTTTTCAAAATAATAGTTCTTATTACCACACATTTAGTGCAAATACAAAGCTGAAAAGTATGAAAGTATATTTAACAGAATAAATTGCTTTTATGAGATGCTCTAAAGTATCCCGATAAAATTACCAAGCTTTATTCCACAGTTTGAAACCTTATTTTATTATTAAATCATTACCAAAGTTCTTTGGGAAAAATAACCGAGCTTTTCAGTGTTTCCATAGAGCTAGAAACACAGTAAATTTTACCACTTTCTGATCATTTTGACCATAATTTATTTCTCAATATATAGTCTATCTCTGTATTTTCATACTCTAAAGATTAAATATATATTACTTTTTAATATTACTTTTTTACATGCATACGAATTGTGCATATGGAATCGATAATATATCATTAAATTTAAATTCAGTTTACTTAAATAAAAGTTTAATTGCAAAACTTCTTTTATTCAAATCTCAGAACTACACCCTTGCTTATAAATATCGTATGTATTAATCTAAAGTGATATAACCGAAATAAAATATATTATACATCAGAATAAGCCATCTGTATGGTTGTTTCGTAAAATAATCATCTCCCCTCTATCATTTGTTAACAGAGCAATCCAACTCATTCTTGAGGACGAAAATATCTCTCTCTTGATGACTTATTGATTAAGCCATGTCATCCACGTTGCCTAGACACCGAATCCCAATTCTATTATGTACTAGATTAATAACAGATGACACTTCGTCCGAAACATCAATAGAAGTCGCCAATGTCTCCGTCACCTGCGAATGCTCGCCAAAGTCACAACAAAGTGCTGTCTGTCTATTGACTTGGCAAACACGTGTTATGCCGAAGAAATGTCATACGAAACGAACAAGAGGGATTAGCGATCAGCACAAGATTTAGAATTCATACATTCCTCGAAGGGATAAATCTGCAATAAATATTTCTTTTTTCTTTCTTGAGGGAACTCAATTTCGCTTTGGCTTTTTTTTTCTGGAAGGAAATAGTTATCTATATTTCATTTAGAAATGTTGATCAATATTTATTCAGTGTCTGACAAAATTAATTTCCGAGTCATTTCGAGTTTTTTAAATCTATCTGGTTAAAAAATTTATTACTTCTCTAGAAATTTCATTAGATCCTAAAATTAATTCTCAGAAGCACTTATAAAAATTTTTATTAATGCATCTAATGTCATTAACTCATCAATATATTTAATGTGACACTTAATAAATGCATTTTTATAAGACATTTTAGCAACAACAAATATAACAATTTCAAATTGGTGTTCAAAGAACAACACAATAAATTATGATGTAGTTAAACGAAAAACTAATAGAAATAATATAACTCTGCATGATTGTAGATTGTATAATAATAATAGTAAATAATTTTAGTAAATAATATTTTTTACTATTTTGTAATAGTAAAATAATAGTAAATGATTAAGTAAAGTAGTTAAATGTAAGTAAAGGACGAACACTTTAAGATTATCCAATATCCCAATTCATCATGAGGAATTTTAACATTGTTTAATATTTCAAGTAATTTATTTATCTTTAGCGTTTTGACTTAAAACTTAATTATCCCTAAATTCTTTAAGGTTATTATTGAATATGTTAGTTTTGTAAATGTTAATTTCATCTGAAACTTATTCATATCAGGATACATTTTATCAGTATAAATAGCTATTTCACTAAACATTTTATTAATTACTTTCTTTCTATAAATCTTGCATACTAAACTGATTAAACTTCAGATCTTAAAATGAAGCAAAATTTAGGCTCATAGACGTACCAGTATTTAAAATTTCTTACAATTTAGTGCATAGTTAAATAATGAAGAGTAAATTGGTGCTGTGCAATACTTGAGTACAATTAGTTTCAAAGAGAGAAAATACTTCTGTAATTAGTGCTTGATTAAACTTTCTGGTGGTAAATAAATGTTTTATTTAGAAAGATTTATCGATATGTTTTTTACTTTCTAAGTATAAGTTTATGTTTCAGCTTTTAATTACTTGTGCTCTAAAGGTTTTACTTAAAAGTTGATGGGAAATACACTTTCTAGACTTTTATAGAGTGTATGAATAACCTTTTTATTATGTTATGCCATGAATTAAAAATCAGAACTTTTAGTCGTTCAGTACTGCCACTACTGATAAATATTGTTCGTCTTTAGCAACACGCTTTAAAAACATGAAGAAGACCGTTTTTAAGGGTCTATTTTAATAATTATTTAAGCAGTGTGGTTAGGAAATGTGCTTTATTTTCTGCTTTAAAATTCTACATATGTGGGAGAGCTTTTAAATATGACGGATTTAGAATGTTCCTTGCGTTTATGCGCTGAGCCTTTAACAGTAAATATACCAAAACGTAATGCATACCCAGTTCTACCATAGCCAGTCATGTGACCGGACTTTATGTTTCTTGATTGAATGTATGAAATATGGATGTTAGGAAGAAATTAAACCTTATTATACTTTATATAAAACTTTATTATAACTAAACAAAATTGTATATGGCCAATTTTCATGTATTACAAATACAAAGAAGAATAATGTTTAATTCATTGCTCAAAGCATTTTTAACATATACAGGGTGTTTCCATTGTACAATTTCAGAAAACATATTTTTTTTAAATATAATTATTTCTATAATTCTTATAATTATTCTTATGATTATAAGAATATATAAGAATTATAAGAATTGTAATTCCTATAATTGTTCTTATGATTATAAGAATATATAAGAATTATAGTTCTTATAATTAATATCATTTCTTCTTAGAACTTGTGTGGTCTTGTTTGTTTTAACATTTTACTGAGTAAAAACTAAAAGTTAGTTAGAACTGAAGTAAAGCTATCAAAGTAAAATATAAAATACTTACCAAAACATTTAGTTTTTGTCACTTTTTCTTATGCAAAAATGACAATCTAAAATTTTAGGCACTTTATTGAAATTTGAATTCACAGTTATTCTGATTGAACTACGCGCAACAGTCTTTGCAGAAATGTGCGACTAATCGAATGCAATACGTTAAACGCGCATTACATCGTAATTTCTGATCCGATAAACTTATAAAGCAATAAATTCTTCTCCCAGTCAAATGACCGGGTGTGGTAGAAATAGGTATACGACAAGTATTATTCGAAACAAACAAAATACGGAAAAAAATAATAATTAAATATAAACTATATATAATTGTTAGAAAAATTGTGGAAGTCAAATGCGCAAAAACGATAAGATGCTAAGCGCATTTTCGATGCAAAAGTTCTTAAACAATTATTTGACAGGGTATGGTATGTTTAGTGCTAAATCCTAACTGTCCTATAATTACAAAAATAAATCAACAGCTTTCTTAAAGTAAAAGAGTGAACACCAGAATAAAAAGAGCTTCATGTCTCATGCTCTTCAATTTACGGCTTATGTAAAATTTTAATTTATATATATATTTTAGAAATATACCACAACTTTTAAATATTTTTAATATGAATTAAAAGTATTTTTAAGGGACTCAACACCATTAAGTTATTTTTATTAAATATTTTCACAATTCACAATTAATTAAACAAGTTACAATTTACAAAGTTGTTGAAACTTTAAATAGCTGTGCAGTGTTATTACTTTTTATCTTTCATTAATCTCTTGAATTCCAAATCTATGCACAAAGGAATCAAAATATATTTGTAGTGTAAGGAAAAAATGCTGGCAAAATGACCCTGTTGTGTAGTAATGACATTTCTGATTAAAGAAGGAAAAAAGAAATGTATTTCTGGCTAATAAAAATAAAATATACGTTACTTAATACCATTTGGTGTTTTTTTCCGTTTGCATGGCAAAACTTAACCTGAAATTCTCTTTCTCAAAGTTATTGTTCTTATTTCAACATATTTATTAAAAAAATACAAACTGAAAAGTAAATTTAACCAAGTAAATAATTTTTATTCTACACCTTAAGGTATCATTATAAAATAACTAAATTTTCCCACATTTATCATATTATAACGCATATTATAAAATCATACTGTATTGAAAACTTTACCAAAATCATTAAAGCATTTCGGATTAGATTAACTGCATAATTCCCAAATTACCTTCATAATACTATGCATAATAATTACAAGTAAACATCTGTTTCATAAAAATTACATCAATAAATAATTCCAACAAATAATTTTTGAAAAAATAATGATAAAACAGTTTTTTTAGAAATAAATTCTTTTTCATTTCAGCTGTGATGCAGTTTTATGAAACTCAAGTATACGATGTGTTCGTGACCAAGGGTAACACTGCAGTTCTAAAGTGCCACATTCCGAGCTTTGTCAAAGAATATGTATCTGTGATGTCATGGATGAGGGACGATGGTCACATCATTCACGCAGAGGTCACTGCTGGTAAGAGGACAAATATATATACATATATATATAATCTGTAATCTCTTATGGTTAAGTTACCAAAGAATTCTCAGCGAAATACATTAACAGAATTTTCTGTTGCAAAACCACACAGAAAGTATTTCAACACGACATATTTCTTCAGTAGGGCAGTAATTTTTTTCTGTTGGAATTTAATATGACAAAAATCGATACAGTTGACGTCAAAAACTGGGACACTTGTTGTGACCTAGGAGATAGTGATCACGTTTGAGCAAATCGTGAAACGAGGCAACGAATTGTCATGGTGCAATCTATCGAAGAACAAGAGAATTGAGTTCAAAACTAAATGTTTTAAAACTTTTAATTACGACTACACTTTACGATTTTTGGCTAGCAGGATATATCATACAAGATATAAACTTTTTATCGTAACTTTCTCGAATTTTCATACCTTTTTATAATCAGAAATATATCAAGGTGCTTATTTAGACCATTGATAATTAAAGAAAATTTTTAAATTACAAATTTTAAAAATGCTGATCACTTATCATCATGATGTCAAGCATTGATCAGTAAATATGGAGTAATTTCAACAAGTGATTATTTAGTTCATATCTCCTGCTATCATCATGATGTCAAGTCATGATCAGTAAATATCGAGTAATTTCAACAAGTGATTATTTAGATCATGTCTTCTATTTCTAAACTATTTTTAGTCGGTATCCATAAATCATTCTAAATCACTATAAATCTAAATCATCGCTTTTTTAAATTCCATATGGGAACTTATTTCCTCTGAGGAACTGGATACAATCATTTTTGAACGAAAATTCAATAAATAGTAATACTTGCAGGAACTTCTTTTATAAGATACTATATTTATTAAAGAATTTTGTTAATGTTGATGAATTATTTTCAATTATTCATTATTTTACCTCAGGATTATATATGCAAGAAATTATATTAAAAATCATAAACTGCTTTAATGAGGAATCTATTTTGATAAATAAAAAATCTATTATTTTTTAAAATATGAAGCTCTATAAAAATAAAAATTATTCTTTATTTTTGATATACATATGAATTACTAAATGGATAATTTAAAAATACCCATAGAGTAAGGTTAGCAGGACCAAACCTCCACAGAACTCCGCCGTTCCTAAAGAAACTAAAAATGTAAGCTGCTTGCAGACGTTAAAAAAATTCTCGCTTAAGAAAGTTAAGGAATCCGTGTATAGGCTTTTAATTGCTTTAATTTATTGTCAACACTACTTTTCTTAGACTTACGCCTAGAAATGTGTTGGGAAAAAAGGAGAGTGAGAGAAATAATAACGAATTTTGATAAAATCAAAATATTTATCAAAAATTTAATGGTTTTCGAAATATATCCTAATGTGTTAATGCATGAACCGGGCTATGCCAATGTGTAAACCGGGTTCGAATCCCAGCTATGGGGGATCGATACAAATTCTGCACTCGGCTCGATATAAAATACATTCAGTGACGGACGAGTCATGAGTTAAGTATCCCCTTGCCATCAGGCTACCTGTGGGAGGTTTTCGTTTCTTTCCTCTTTATGTAATGCAAATGTGGTTAGTTCCTGAAAAAAGTCCTCCACGAAAACAAATACAATACTTGATCCTGGAATTCCCTTGTCTTTTGGATTGGTTTCAAAATTACAAGGCTACTGAATTGAACATAGGAATTCGTAAACCCAAAATTGGGTCGACTGCTTAACGACGGTTATAAAATAAAATAAAATGTGTTAGGTAGAGAAGCGTTACTGAGTGTTAGAAATGAAAAGGTTAATGGGTAAAAGGAATTTCTAAAGATAAATGTTCTTCAATGATTTGAAATAACGAAAACACCCACCATTTTTATTTATTGAGAACGGAAAAATAAATGTAATAATTTAGCTTTTCAATGTTAGTAAATATATTATTCATATTTTTGCATAACAATTATAAACTAGAAAAAATGCCATAACAGAGTTAATTATTTCTTCTAAGCAAAACCAATTTTATTCATTGTTTTAAAATAAAATTGCAATATTATTAAGCAAAAAATATTAACTACTTTAAAAAAAAATTAAACATTGCATGGGCGTTATTTGCATAACAACTATTGTAACTTTTTATTAATAATGTTATATTTTAAATTATAAAAAAAATAAGGACAAAATATTAATTAAATTGCTGATTTTAAGCGTGATTTAAATAGTTATATGCTTTTACTAGCACAAACTATTCTTTAATTACCATAATTTAAAAAAAAACATTAAATAGTTAACATATTTAAAAGGATGTGATGTTTTACAAAGACCTATTCAAATAATATTCTAGACAAGTGTATTCATATAGCTATTTTTCATATATCGACTATTCCTTTGTTCTTCTTCCTCAATTCTTTTAGAAAATGTATAGACCTACAATTTAAATAATATTTTTTCAAAAAACCAGATGCAGAAATTGTTTTTGCTTAACACCAGATCCCTCTTCTATTCTTTTGCGAAAGGTTTCCTTTTTTACAGAATATGAACAATGCTATTTTCTAGATAATGTAAAATAATAATTCTCCCAAAATTCGAAATTGAAAAGAAAGAAAAGCCTCTATTTTTCAAAAGTGGAATAAGAACAAATGATTGAGAGTTTGAAGGATAAGTAAAACTTATGGAAAGGATGAGAATTTTTATTTTAATGTTGCTCAGATAAAATTATAAAAATACATATGAAATAGTATATTTTATTTATTGTTATTTTACAAGTACATACGATTGCGATAGAAAAGGCTTATAAATGATAAATATAAAACCAATTATCCCACACAAAAGCACTTTTCTTTATAAGTATGAAACCTTTAACAAAAATATTAAACATAAAACAATGAAGTTTATAGAAAAGAGTAAGCACTACGACAGACAATTTGGAAAGTACACTGAAAAAATGTGTGGTCTAAGCTACCAGAATATTGCAAACTTTAATGTGTTTCCGGATCTAAGGGAGCACTAAAAAGTTAGGTATTTTTTACCAAAGTTCTTTGGTAATGCTCTGATAAAATTAACAATGAAATATTTTTATTTAATGTGCGATTAAAATTGGTAAATGTGATGAAATTTGGAAATTTTATCACACCTTAGATTACGACATAAGAACCATTAATCTGGTTACGGTCTTTTATTACGGTCATTATTTTACGGTCTCGTATTTTTTTTTCTAAGTATGTGATAATACGAACTATAGTTTAGAAAACCAGTACTTACGGTAAACTGTTGCCATATAGAAGGATAAATTACGAAATAAATGGTTTAAATACCATATAATTTGGTTTTCATGTCTAGAATTATTTTTTCGCCTTACAGTGCGATAATTTTACGATTCTCCGTGTATAGAAATTTATTATAATTCATTATAATGAAAGATATTGTTTTGAAGTATACCTTCATAACAGTTTTTCATTTAAATTGTATATAAAAATTAGGGGATTAAGGAAAGTATGCGCTAATTACGTTTATAAATGTTTTCGTTTTTGGCATTTAAATTATAACTTTAACAAATTAGTTCCGTTTAAAGTATCCAAAACTGACTTATGGTAAATATATATTATTTTTTTATTATTTTATTTAATAAGAGTTCTAATTGAAAGGTATACAATTTATTACATTATTTTAAAGAATATAATTTCACACATAAGCAAATGGTAAAACACAAAATTTGGACAAAATTGGTCAAATAGCTCCTGAGAAATTGAAATTTAAAAATTGGACTTTTTCATATTCGATCTTCTCAAGCTGTTCTTCTTCCCTTTTTTTAAACTTTTTTACTTATTTATTTTGCACATTATACAATATTAACATTATAAAATCGTTCTCTTTGTTTTATCAGAAAACAGATCAAAATCCGTACTCCATAATCAGAAAGTACCGGCACTCAGGGTCTCAGTACTTCTTGCTGTAAATCCACTTTTACCGCAAAATTTCGCAGAGCAAATTATTTGAAGTACCGTAATTTTTACAGTAATATGCACTGTAAAATCACTAAATCACTATAATTAAATAAATATTTCAGTAAAAATTACGGTATAAAATTTTATAGATACTGCACTCAGGATGCCAGTACTTATTATAGTAACATAATCCAGTTCATAACAATAACAATACATGAGATTTAAGTTTATGGGGAGATATATGATAATTTAAAGCATTTTCAAGAACGGCAATAGAGGGAAGCTGACGTTAAATGCATATAAGGATATTATCAATAGAAAAAAAATTTAAATTGTTTTCAAAAAGTGTATAATGTATAGTTTAGTTAAATGAGTCGGAAATAATACTGAAACATAACACAAATTATGTTACTTATATATTTTATTATGTTCATTAATTTCGAAAATTCCATCATCTTCGTTCGTAATCTTAGTTTCAGCAAAAAATCAACAAAAAATAAACCAATAAACCTTTAATTTTGAATGTTATTTAAAAATGTGATTAAGCAAAAGTATTAATTTCAAATCTTTGAGAGTGAGTGCTAAGTTTCTTAAGAGTAGTGATAGTCCTAAGTGATCATCATGTTCCCTACGTATAAATACAAATTGAAATAATCACTATCACAATTATTCCAAAAAGTAAGAGAAAAATGCAAAATATTTCCTAAAAATTATAAAATTAGTGCAAATTTAATTAGGTTATTTTATCTTATTAAATTATAGAGCAAAACTTTTATATTTTATAAATAAATAAATATTTCCTAGAGATTTAAAGATATAAATTTCCATAAAAACCTATTTTTCTATATAAATATTTAAACTTTGCGAGAAATTTTCTTATATGTAGAATTTTATCAAGCTAATCTGATAATTTATACTTTTTTAACGTTCAAAATATTTTTTTTTATTGTTTCATGTCTAAGAAATATGCGTTTGGAAATTTAATATAAAAACATTTTTAATATAACTTCTTTTTATAAGCTTAAGGTTTCAGATCCACCACGAAAAAGCAAAACAACAAGAGTATTAAATTATGTCTTCTTCTTTTTGTATTTCCAAGAAGTATTGTAATGAATCGAAGTAAGTTTATTTTTGAAGAAATTTAATATCGTGTGTGCTCTTTCTTACCAAGAATTTAGTAACTCAAGGCAAAGTATTTTTCTGGATAGATTTTCATCCTGATTTTCTTCCTCCATATTTACTTAATTACAAAACCATTTTTAATTCTATTTTTTATTGAATACTTATTCTTTTAAATAGGTGCTAAAATTGTTTAAATACCTAAGTAAAGGCATTTTAAATGGGATTTAAATATATATATA